AAGTTTTGTGCTACCTCTTTGGAATCCATGCTCGACTCTACTCGATCCATATTCGGATTCAAGGCCAAATTTAAAGTTCTTACGACGACTCACCTTACAAAGTCCATTACCCTTCTGCAAAATTATACTATCTTGGAAGTGCCAGAGGAGATTTTAGCTCATAAAATACTGGCATGTCACACGTTGCCTTATCCTTACACGGTTTTTTATTGCCATAGCCAAGAAAGTGATAACAAGTTGTTTAAGGTTTCATTGATTGGGGAAGATGGAGGAAGAGTGGAAGCTGCTGCAATTTGCCACATGGATACCTCACACTGGGATCCGGATCATGTCTCGTTTCGCGTGCTGAAAACTCAACCCGGTGCCTCTCCGGTGTGCCATTTCTTCCCAGCTGATAACCTTATTTGGATTCCAGTAGTCTAATTACAGAAGCGTGCATGTTTATATGTGTGTTTTAGTGCAAAATGCTAGGCATGAAATACTTGGATCTTATTATGATGGTCGTACCCGTGTAAAGAAGCTGTGTAATGCTATGCTTTTTTTTTTCATCGGTAGCTGTGTAATGCTATGTTTGCAATGCTAAAGGTTGTTTTTGGGCAAAATCTTTTGCTGGATAAGTTACATTTTTATTCATTAGTTAAAAAAGAATGCTTATGTTGACGATTAAACAACTTTACTTTCAAGATAAGTTATCTCGTATATTCAAGAAAACATGGTGGAAAACCCCCACACATTAATCGAAAAAAAAACGTATAATTTAAGTACATTCTTGGAGCAAGTTTTCCTTGACGACAGATGTACATTCCTGTACATGTAATAAAAGAACGTGCCACACAAACTGTAACAGTTCATGTACCTGAAAAAAAAAATTGAGGTGATGAACAAAGTGAAATCGATTAGCTGCTTTGAATTGATGGAAGCATCATAAGTACCGTTGGTGAGTCCACATGAATTGCATAAACAAACTATTAGTATAAATACCCATGCTTTAAAAATCGGACTAGACATTGACCCAAAAAACATGAAATGTAAAGGGTTCAACTGGGATGGAACCGGCAAGCTCACAGCGGTTTTCAATACAATAGCTGAAATTTTTCGTTGACTCAAGTTAGTAATCTTTATATAAACGATTAAATAATGACCTCAGCGGCATTGCCAGTTTCTAGTTTCCAATAAAATAAGGAAGAACACAATGATAAACAATGATAATATCAGAACACAAGACATATCTCGTTCACTTTTGAAATATCTCAAAATGTATATCTGTTAGAAATGTCGTGCCAACAAAAATTTCATTTTCTAGGGAAGCTAAAAACTGGCTTTTTTTTTTTCTAGTGCAGGTTCAATTCAAAAGCATGTGATCAATAGAGATTTCTATTTGTTATAACTGGCTTTTTTTTTTTCTAGTGCAGGTTCAATTCAAAAGCATGTGATCAATAGAGATTTCTATTTGTTAT